TTTCTCCCTCCCCACCCCATCCTTCCTCCATCCCCACCCAATCCTTCCTCCCTCCCTACCCTATCATTCCTGCCTCCTTACCCCTATATCGTTTCTATCCCCATCCTATTATTCCTCCCTCACCACCCTATCTTTCTTCTCTCTCATATGCTATCATTCCTATTACCTTTACTCCCCATGCTGTAATGCATACAGTGATAGGGGTAGAAATTAACTTTTGAACAAGGGAGTCCGTACCGTCAAAAAGAGGGAGTCCGCAGCAAAATGAGGGAGTCAGCAGTCTGAGGTTCAAAATTAAAGCAATAACGCATGTGCTTATTTTTAAGATTCATGCAGTTGCACGTCTGCCAAATTTTCTTTGGACATTAGCTGAAAAAATACAGTAATTCAGTGAGGCCGTGCTCCGGAACGAACTAGTTAGTATGGCAGAATTTTCAGGGAGTCACGCAGACTCCTGCATATGTAAAATCAGGGAGTCCGACAGTAAATCAGGGAGTATTTGACTCCGGACTCCCGTTAATTTCGCACCCTGCAGTGATCGAGTTTTCGTATCTTGTGTCAAGTTGCAATCTCACAGTATCATCATCTCATATCCACACCATCATTTCTCCTTCACACCCCTATCATTCTCAGTGATCGAGTTTTTATTTTTTTATTTCATTTTTTTATTTAGGTAATTATCCATGATACATGCATAGCGTACTTTGACAATATATTATGAATTCATTAAGTTAAATAACTACCAAGGATATATACACAAAAAGTATGACTAGCACACTTATTTACATTGAGGTCCTTGTTTTGCTATGTTACTGTTAATAAAAATGCCATGACACTACTATCACTATCAGCATGTGTAACTACTAAACAACTAGTAACTATTGAAATATACAAATTTGTAAATTTATCAGTCATACATTCTCGTAAGGTTCTACAAACTGAGTTTGCGTATCTTCCTACAGATCCGGATTTGGTGAACAAGTTTGCTATAGATGAATCGACGGGTGTCATGACGATAGCGGAGGAGGTGGACAGAGAACAGCTGCTAGACATCAACGGACGCTTCGAAGTGAAGGTACTCTCAGTTTCAAATTCTTTTTAAAAATTCAAGTTATCTTATTAAATTATTTTATCTCATTTTATTGCCAACCTCAGGGAAAGTGTTGCTCTTGGTTTAACCATCGGGCCCTCGTCGTCAGAAACAAAATTAGTATTAAGAACTATTAACAATAAACATTAGTCCTGACGTTGAACTTTTCTCGTGGACCAGACCTCTATGCACTGCGTAGTAGAGACTCATCACTTTACCTTGTTTCTGTCCACGTTCGAGGAGAAAAGTTCATGTTAACATTAACACGAAACCATCGAGACTAATGTTAAGACTAATTTTGTTTCTGACAACGGGTCCCCGAGATTTTAGGCTGTAACGGGTATGTAATGTGTTCTTCTGAATGAGTACGTGGCCTCGAAGACCCCTTCTAACCTCCCGCACTTCCTTCCACCTCCTCCCACCTTCTCCCTCCTCCACCCACCCCCTGCTTTTACCACCTCCTGGCTCCCCTGCCTCCCCCCACCTTTACCA